ATCAAGTCTTATTTGCCGAAGTTCAACTCGCCCGCAGCTCGGAATGCAACTGCCTGCGGTGAAGTACTTCTCCAGAAGCGCTTTTCATGTTTAATTCCTTTCTTGCTTCGCATTTAATTAATTATTTAAATAAATAAATATATTATTAATAAAAGTGCTGCTGGAGCTTCGCTTGGGGGCGATCTTGCTCACCCATCATCCAGAAAGACGCGGCGGTTTCGACTGTGGAAGACAGTTCCTCCTGAAGGCGCAAGAACCCGAAGTCCAGTTGACGAAAACTCTCCAATTTGTGGAGTTTAAAAGACTAAAAGGAAAAATAAAACCATTAAAAGGGTTTTAAAGGCGAATTGAGCCCGGGATTGAAGGGTTTTGGGCTTGGAAGCAGCAGAAACAATTCAAGAAAGCTGAACTGCGGAGGCGCTCACGTCAAACAGAGGCGGCTTTCCTATGAGGCCAACGGCCAACTTATTGGGGGAAATTCGCACAGAGATTTCCTTGGCTTCTGTTTTTGGCGGTGGCTTGAGGTAAATATGAACATCCGTCAGGTCTTGTTCCCACTCATACAACAGGCGGCCTGCGGGCGGGAAAGCGCGTGGAAAACGCCACTTCAGCCCATCTATTTCAACAAATGTGAACAATAAAAGTGCTGGTAATGCAGATTCTTGCAATTTGCTGCGAAACTTTTGCAGCTTTCTCGCTTACCGTCGTGCCGAACTGGAACTCGGCCGCGAGCCGCCTCGGCGATGGCTGTCTGCATGTCTGGGACGCAGTCGAGCTTTCCAGCCAGACTGGAACACGTTTTTAGATTTAAAGTTGAATTGTGTTTACGAAATTTCACGAAAAAAATGCAGATCTGTGTTTACTTCGTGATCTGGAGCGCGTGGCGGCGTAGACACTGCTGGGGCTGCTACGGTGAAGTTTGAACAGTGAAACACACCGGCGATCAGTGTTGTTTTTGGGGAGTTTGGAGCTTGCGATGAATCGATTGAGTATTTATCTTCATTTTAATTCTCGTTTAGGAACATTTGAAGGCAGTATTCTTCCGACTGCGTCGAGCTTCCTTCGTTAGCTGGCCGTGCGCTGCAAAGATGGCAGCGGCGGACTGCCGCCTTGGCATGCGTCGAGTGGGCGCCTTGCCGCGGGTTTGCAAAGAGATCACTGCGCAGAAGAAGAGCATTTGGTGAAGTTTGAAAGTTTGCGTTGAAGGGGCCTCGAAGTGGAGAGAAGAGGAGCGAAGAAGAGCAACGGAGCGCCGAAGACTGCGTCTTGGGCGTGGGTCGTTGGGGTCCTTGGGGCCCCGGCTTTGCAGCGGTTTCTCTCTTTCCCGCCGCCGACCTCCCGCAAAAAGCCTCCCAATTGTGGAATTAAAGGGATTTAAAGGAAAGAAAACTCGAGTATTCTCCGTGGAAGCTCTGTCGGCGAAAATGCAGAACGACGAGCTGATCTGGAGCGTGGTGAACAAGCACTTCTGCGCGTTCAAGAAGAAAACGGACAAAGAAGACATGTGCAGGAACTTGCACAACGTGACTGGCAAGTGCAACCGCGTGAGTTGTCCGCTGGCCAACAGCCTCTACGCCACTGTTCTCGAGCAGCAAGGCAAGTTGTACTTGTACTTGAAAACGGCGGAGAGAGCCCACCTGCCCAGCCGCCTCTGGGAGAAGCTGAAGCTGCCCCGCAGCCTCAAAGAGGCCAAACACTTCGTGCGAATTCGCATGCAAAACGAATACCCCAAACACCAAATCCAACGCTGCCTCCGCAGGCTCATTCGCCTCCGCCAAATGCTCGACAGGATGCGCAGGCTCGAGCTCAAACCCAGGTCAGCAGCAGCAGCAGCAGCAGCAGCAGCAGCAGCTGCAGCAGCAGCAGCAGCTGCTGCTGCTGCGGTAGTTCTGCAGTAGCTGCTGCAGCAGCAGCTGCTGCTGCTGTCGCTGTAGCAGGGCACGCAGCACTCAACAGACAGACGCAGCCGCAGCAGCAGCGGCAAGAGAACCTGTGCAGCAGCAGCAGCAGCAGCAGCAGCAGCAGCTGCTGCTGCTGCTGCTGCTGCACTGCCGAGATGCGGTGGAAGAGTGGAATTCGGTGGGCTTTGCTGCTGCGTCTGCTGCTGCTGCTGGGTTTGCTGCTGCTGCTGGGTTTGCTGCTGCTGCTGCTGCTGGGTTTGCTGCTGCTGCGGAACAGGGAGAAGCTGGAAGGAGTGAAGAAGAAAACTGAAAGGAGAGAAGCAGCAAGAGAAAAAAAAGCACTTCGTGCTGCTCACATCGAAGATGTCATTGAAGACGAACTGCTCAAAAGACTGCACCAGGTGAAGTTCCGGAATTGAATTTTGAATTTTTGAATTTTTGAATTTTTTTGAACTTTTTTGAACTTTTTGTTTTCTTTTTGTTTTGTTTTTCTTCTTGTTTTCATATTTTTGATTTGTTTTCCCTCTTGGTTCTTTTTTATTTCATTTTCGTCGTTTTATTTCTACTTTTGCTTTCGTTTTTGCTTTTCTGAAAAATGTTCAAAATAGGAATTGAGTTTGCTGTTTTTGTTTTTTTGTTTTTTTATTTTCTGGAAAGTATTGAAAATAAGAATGAGAATAATAATTCAATTAATTAAATGCTTTTGTTCTTAGCGACCTACTTTTGGTGAAGTTCTTGAAGTTGAATTTTCCATTATTTTCAATTTATTATTCTTCTGAAAAGTCGAAATAAAACCAACAACTAACAATTGAATTAATTAATTGAATTCTGAAAACAACCGAAATAAAAATAAAAATAAACAAAAATAAAAATAAAAATAAAAATAAAAATAAAAATAAAAATAAAATTCAATTCTTTTCTTTTTGCTGCAGGGGGTGTACGGAAACCTCTACGAAGAACACAGAATGCCAGCAGAGGCGGAGCAGCAGCAAGAAGACCCTGAAGTTACAGAAGAAAAAGCAGCAGAAGCAGGTTAGGGTTTAGGGTTTAGGGTTTAGGGTTTAGGGTTTAGGGTTTGGCGCTTTTGACTTTCGCCCGTGCGGGGGTTCGCGCTGGTGTTCCTCAACGAGGGTTTAGGGTTTTGACTTTTGCGTGAGGGTTTTGATTTTGCGTGAGGGTTTAGGGTTTTGATTCGGTGCGAGGGTTTAGGGTTTTGATTGTGTGCGAGGGTTTAGGGTTTCGACTTTGTGTGAGGGTTCCGTTCTTTGACTTTGTGCGAGGGTTTAGGGCTCCGATTTTGCGTGAGGGTTTAGGGTTTTGAGTTTGTGTGAGGGTTTGAACTTTCCATTTTGCGTGAGGGTTTAGGGTTTCGATTTTGCGTGAGGGTTTAGGGTTTTGATTTTGCGTGAGGGTTTAGGATTTTGATTTTGCGTGAGGGTTTAGGGTTTTGATTTTGCGTGAGGGTTTAGGGTTTTGATTTTGCGTGAGGGTTTAGGATTTTGATTTTGCGTGAGGGTTTAGGGTTTTGATTTGTTGTGCAGATGCTTCTTCTTCCACAATTTCCCGATTTCTTTCTAATTCCCTTTTCCACCTTGTCTTGTTTTTGTCTTTTACTTTTTCTTGTTTAGGGTTTAGGGTTTAGGGTTTAGGGTTTTGTCTTGTTTTATTTTTGTCTTGTTTTATTTTTGTTTTGTTTTATTTTTGTCTTGTTTTATTTTTTCATTCTTTTTTGTCTTGCATTCCTTTTGTCTTCTTTGCATTTTGTTTTTCTTGTGTTCTTTTTGTCTTGTATTCTTTTTGTCTTTTATTACTTTCTTGTCTTGCATTCTTTTTGTCTTGTTTAATTTTGTTTTGCATTCTTTTGTCTTGTATCATTTTGTCTTGCATTTTTTGTCTTGTTTAATTTTTTCTTGCATTCTTTTGTCTTGTTCAATATTTTGTCTTGCATTTTCTGTCTTGTTCAATTTTTTGTCTTGTATTATTTTCTCTTGTTCGATCTTTTGTCTTGTATTATTTTGTCTTGTATTATTTTGTCTTGTTCAATCTTTTGTCTTGTATTATTTTGTCTTGTATTATTTTGTCTTGTTTAATTTTGTCTTGCATTTTTTGTCTTGTATTATTTTGTCTTGTATTATTTTGTCTTGTATAATTTTTTGTCTTGTATTGTTTTGTCTTGTATTATTTTGTCTTGTTCAATCTTTTTTCTTGTATTATTTTGTCCTGTGTTATTTCGTCTTGTATAATTTTTCTTGCATTTTTTGTCTTGTTCATTTTTCAGGTTCGATTCGCTTCGAAGCTGCCGCGGAGGCGGAAGAAGAGCCGCAGCCGTCGGCGTCGGACTTGGGCTCGGATTCCGATTTGGAAAGCGAGGACTTTTCCTTTTCAGATTTGGACTTGGAGTCGGACTTGGAGGGGGAAAAAGGCGAAAAAGAAGCTGAAGAAGAAGAAAGCGAAGTTGAAAACGAAGTTTCCCTCGAAGACATTCAGCCGGTGGTGGAAAGCAGCAAAAAAAGAAGAGCTTCCCTTCAGAAAGCTGAAGATCGGCCGCCAGTTCCAGTTGCGACTTTGCGCAGACAGGCGGCAAAAAGTGGGGAAACGAAACAATTCCAAGAGCTTTCGAATTGCATTTTGTGAATTAAACGGCAGTTTAAATTCAAAAGTTCAAAATATTTCTTCTTTTTTCCAAATTTCAAGTTTTCCCGAAAAGCGGCGCCGGCGCTGCGCGGGCAGCTGAGGTGTACGTACACCCCAGATGGACCCCGCGCTCACTTCTGCTTTCTTTTCTGTTTTCTTTTCTTTTTATTTCAGGACGAAACACTCGAGTGCGGATTGAATACGAGCCGGAAGCCATGGCGGAGGAAATGTGAGAAGTTCTTTGTTTTATTTCAATTCATTTTGCAAACCCTAAACCCTCGATCTTGAATTGCTGCTTTCGCCGAAACCCTCGGGACAATCTGCGCAGCTTTTGTCACTCTCGCCAACAGGGACTGCCATTTGCGGCCTCTGCCGAATATTTAGTCAATTGAAATTAATTTCTTTTTTTTGAACTTCAACTTTTGAACTTCAACTCCAGAAGCAAGTCCCGGGCTTTCGCCGGACTTGTGCGCTGCTGCCCAAGCCATTCCACCACTGCAGCAGCAGCAGCAGAAAACTCCAATTCTGAATTTTATGCCTTTTTGAACTTCAACACTTTGCTGCGCAAAGCTGGCCCACGCCCATGCTAGCATTAGCAGCAGCAGCAGCAGCAGCAGCAGCAGCAGCGCATCTGCCTTCAGCAGCAGCAGCAACAAAACCAGCAAGATCAGCAGCAAACTCAGCAGCAGCAGCAGCAGCACAGCAGCAGAAGCAGCACAGCAGCAGCGAAGGCAGCATCAGCTGCAACGAAGCTATCAGCAGCAGCACTACCAACGACAGCAGCAGATGCAGCAGCAGCAACAGCAGCAAAAGCAGCAGCAGCAAAAGCAGCAAAAGCAACAGCAGCAGCCTGGAAACTCGCGGGCCACGGCTGCAAACATTAATGCAAATAAAAAGCGACCGTTTAACGCCAACAGTCTACGGGCAGTTGAGGTGTACGTACACCTCGTTGCATGCATGCGGCTGCGGCCCTTGGGGTGTACGTACACCCCGTTCCACGCATGCGCGCCTCCGTTGCTTTTGTTTCTTTCCGCAGTGTCAGTTGCAAACAAATGGAAACAAAATAGTGAAATAATAATTAATTAATTATTATTTAATTAATTATTAATTAATTAGTTACTACATATCCCTTTGCAGGCTGTAGTGACACCGCGCGGTGCATGCATGGCTAAAGCTTTCGGGTGTATCGACAGCTCGTCGCTGCTGCGGCTGCGCAGCAGCGACTGCTGCAGCAGCTGCTCTAGCTGCTGCTGTTTTCCTGCTGCTGCTGCTGCTGCTGCTGCTGCTGCTGTGGGGTTTGCATGGGCGCGTACTGGCGGTACATTGGGGGGCACAGCAGCTGCTGCTGCTGCAGCAGCTCCTGCTGCTGCTGCAGCAGCTCCTGCTGCTGCTGCAGCTGCTGCCACCGCTGCTGCTGCACTGGCAGCTGCACTTGCTGCCAGGCCGCCGCGTCCGCAGGGATGGGTGCGAACTGCTGCTGCAGCAGCTGCTGCTGCAGCAGCTGCTGCTGCTGCATCTGTTCACTCTGCACCGCAGGGAAGACAACCGCGCCCGACCTGCCGTGCTGCTGCTGCTGCTGCTGCTGCTGCTGCTGCTGCGGGTCTGCAGCAAAGTAGTAAGAGGGCCCCATGAAGTAGGCATAAAACGGCAGCAAATTCTTTGTGCTGCGCCAGCGGCAGCAAAAAGTAATAATGGAGGCCCACCAAGAAACTAAAGCAAGCATTAGCCACCCAGAAGCAACAAAGGGGCCCCCTGCTGCTGCTGCTGCTGCTGCTTCTGCTGCTGCTGCTGCTGCTGCGTCGCTGGTGTAGGCCGCAGAGGCCAGAGTCAAAGCAGCGTCGTAGCAGCCGTGCAGCAGCCCCGGCAGCAGCACGCTCTGCAGCAGCAGCTTGCAGGAAAAAGGGTTTAGGGTTTGCTGCTGCTGCTGCCAAACCTCAGCCACTGGCGGCGTTGCTGTTCTGCTGCTGCTGCTGCTGCTGCTGCTGCTGATGCCGTCGTCTGAAATGTGCACCACGCGCGCCTCCCCCACTGTCTGTACACCCTGGCCCTCCAGAAACCCTTCCTCTGCTGCTGCTGCTGCTGCTGCTGCTGCTGCCACCGAAGGGCCCCACGCGCCCGAAGCTGCTGCTGCTGCTGCTGCTGCTGCTGCACTTGCTGCTCCTGCTGCCAGCACAGAAGCCGCAATCCCAGTGTTCGCCACGTGGGAAGGAATCGCCGTAAATGCCCTGACACAAACGCACACTCCGACAACCTAAACCCTAAACCCTAAACCCTAAACCCTAAACCCTAGAAACGAAACTAGTTTGGCTGAGGAGACAAAAAGATGGGAAAAAAACGGAAAATAAAGACAAAACACGACAAGGCAAAAAAGCAGCAGCAGCAGCATTTACAACAGCAGCACCAATATTAGCAGCAGCAGCGGCAGCAACAACAGCAGCAGCAGCAGCAATACCAGGAGCAGCAGCACCACCAGGAGCAACAATACTGGTAGCAGCAGCAGCAGCACAGTCGGCTGCAGCAGCACCACTTTTACCAGCAGCAGCAGCAACGCCAATAGAAGCCGCACTATCAGCAATAGCGGAAGCAGCAGCAGCAGCAGCAGCAGCAGCAGCAGCAGCAGCAGCAGCAGCAGCAGCAGCAGCAGCAGCAGCTCACCGAACCCAAGCAGTGGCTAGGGCCATTTCCATGTCGGACTTGGAGGCGAAGACATAACTGAGGTTTTCAATTGTTGCAAATCTGCAGCAAAAGCAAAACACCATTAAAACCATTTATTATTCTTTATTCTTACTATTACAGCAGCAGCAGCAGCAGCAGCAGCAGCAGCAGCAGGGGCAGCAGCAGCATTCGCATCGCAACTAGCAGCATTAACCGCATCATCAGCACCAGCAGCACTGTTCTTCGCAGCAACAGCAGCAAAACTACTCCTAGCAGCAGCAGCAGCAGCAGCAGCAGCAGCAGCAGCAGCAGCAGCAGCAGCAGCAGCAGCAGCAGCAGCAGCAGCGCACCCTAGTGCAGCACAGCAGCCCCCCACTACCATAGATAAAGGGTGGGGAACATAATGCTGCAAACAAGACAGCTTGCCCCCAGGGGGCCCCCGGGCCTCAGCAGCAGCACTGAAGTGGCCTTTGCGAACTCTTCGGAGAATCCAATGCAGAAGATCATGTCTGGAGAAAAAAAGAAAAGAAAAGTTAAATAAATAAATAAATAAATAAATAAATAAATAAATAAATAAATAAATAAATAATAAATAAATAAATAAATAAATAGTTTGTTTATTTAGTTGTGCTGCTTGTGGCTTCTTCAAAAGAGAAATGCAGAAAGTGCATTTCTAGCTTTTGTTGCTCTTGCTTGGCTTCGAGCCAAACCCTAAACCCTAAACCCTAAACCCTAAACCCTAAACCCTAGCCGCTGGCAAACCCGGCCAAACCCTAAACCCTAGAACCCCCAGCCGTGGGGTGCAGCAGCAGTAGAGAAGGCAGCTCACCCCAAACCCTAAACCCTAAACCCCACACCCTAAACCCCAAACCCTAAACCCTAAACCCTAAACCCCACACCCCAGACCCTAAGCCCCAACCCTGAACCCTAAACCCTAAACCCTAAACCCTAAACCCTAAACCCTAGACGCACAGAGGAAGATGAAGAGCGTGCAGAGGTAAAGATTAGGGTTTTGGTCTTCGGCGAATTTGCTGCTGTGGACTTTGCTGCTGAAGATGAGGGAGCTGAGGTGTCTGTACACCCCACGGCCCGCTGCAGCGCAGCCAGCAGCAGCTTTTTTTTCGAGAAGTCCTTCAGCAATTAAGTTCGAAAAAAGAGACAAAACAGCAAACAATCCTTGCTGCTGCTGCTGCTGCTGCTGCTGCTGCTGCTGCTGCTGCAGCAGGTGCTGCTGCAGCAGGTCGCCGTGAACGCCGTGCTGCTGCTGCTGCTGCTGCAGCAGCAGCAGCTGCTGCTGCTGCTGCAGGTAGCTGATCCCCGCCGTTCCCGCTGCCGCGAAAGGCGCGCCGCCCACCCCGCCGCCGCCGCCGCTGCTGCTGCTGCTGCTGCTGCTGCTGCTGCTGCTGCTGCTGCTGCTGCTGCTGCTGCTGCTGCTGCTGGGAGAACCCCCGCAACCCCGCAGCTGCTTCCCAAACAAAACTGCTGCCAGCAACTCCAACCCCACCGCCAGTAACACACTCGAGAAGGCCCCGAAGAGCAGCAGCTCGAAGGCACTCAGCCACCGCAGCCGGTGGGCCCCCGCCAGCCACTGCAGCCTGCAGCAAAAATAATAAATAAATAAATAAATAAATAAATAAATAATTAAATAAATAAATAATTTAATTAATTAATTAATTAATTAATTATTTAATTAATTAATTATGGAGGGGAATTGAACGGATGTGTTGATGTGCGTGGCGTTCGGAAAGGCGCAGTGCAGCGCCCGCTGCAGCAAACCCTAAACCCTAAACCCTAAACCCTAAACCCTAAACCCTAAACCCTAAACCCTCACAAGCACATCAGCGCGAGCCCTGGCGTGACTGCAGCAATCAGCAGCTCGAGGCCCCCATAACCCCTCAAATGAACAGCTCCAAAGAGCTGCAAAAATAAAAGTAAAAATAAACAAGAAATCACAACAACCCCACGAACAGCTCCCAGGCAGGGCCAGCGGGTCCTGGGGGCCCCCCCGGGGGCCCCCGGGGGCCCCCAGTGGCTGGGGCTGCTGAGGGGGGCCCCCAGGGGCCCCCCCAGGGGCCCCCCCAGGGGGCCCCCCAGGGGAGGCCCCAGGGGGGCCCCCAGGGGGCCCCCCAGGGGGGCCTCCTGCGCAGCAACCGCGGGGGAGCCGCGGGGGGGGCCCCCCATCAGGGGGCCCCTCAGGGGGTGGGCCTCGGGGGGGCTTTTGGGGGAGCCCAGGGGGCCCCCCGCGGGAGAAGGAGGAGGCATGGGCCCCTGGCTGTTTGGAGAGATTTAAAAGTCCCCTTTTTTGCGTTTCTGAAGACTTTGTTGGGTTTTAAAATTAAAAAGAAAGTGGAGTGGAGGCTGGCGAAGAGAAAAGGCGTTTTGGTTGTCTTTGGAAGTTGCTGTGCGGCTGTCAGCGCAGCAGGTGTGCAGACAGCGCGGAAACGAGCCGCGCAAGGCACATTGGACCGCCAGCCCGGGAAAAAGAGAATAAAAGAGAAAAGAAAGAATAAATTAATTCAATTTGAAGACTTTTAGTGGAATTTCGCGGAACAAACGCCGGGCTCGCCGCCCCTGGCTGTTTGAGCGCCGCCACCAGCCCGCTGTCCGTACACCCGAGCCGCCCGCAGCCTCATGCTGCCCGCCGACGCCCTTTCCGCTTTTCTTCCAATTCAATTCATTTAATTCTTCAAAATAAAACTCAAATGCGGAAAAAAGGAGAAACAAAACCCCCAAAACCGGCGGAAGGCTCCGCACGCCGCCGCAGGCGCAGCCGCCACCGCCGTCTAGCCGCCAACTCCCTCAGCACTATTTCCCGCAATTCCGCCGCTTTTTCCCCTCAAATAATCCACTTTTCAAAGTCCAAAAACACTTTTTTACTTTTATTCCGCAAAAAGCCGCAAAATGCTGCTTCGCAGCTCTCGATTGCATGCATGCAGCTGCTGCAGCTGCGGCAGCAGCTGCAGCGGCTGCAGCAGCAGCAGCAGCAGCAGCAGCAGCAGCAGCAGCGAGGCTGGGCAAGAGGATATTTGGGGGTTTTGAAGGCTTTTTCCACTTTTTTATTAAATAAATATAAATAGTAATTAAAAATATAAATAAATAATCCTTAAAATGCCATTTTAGTCCATTTAGATCTTCTTTTCCCTGCTGCTGCTCGCCGCGCGTGTTGCAGCGCCCAGCGAAGGCACACTAGTAATTACTTTGAATTCAATTGGTCGGATTTAATTCATTTAATTAAATTATTTTAATTTTATTTGTTTTAGTCATTTTATTTCACTCAATTTGAAGCAGCTAGCTGAGCCGTGCCCCCGTAAACCGCCCCCAATAAGAGGGTTTAGGGTTTAGGGTTTAGGGTTTAGGGTTTAGGGTTTAGGGCTTCGTGACGAAAGGCTGCGCTGCGGGTTGAAACTCTCCAAAAAACGCACTGGGCTAGGCAGGGCTGTCGCTAGCCAGCTAGCTGGCGGGCTAGCTAGCTAGCTAGCTAGCTAGCTAGCTAGCTAGCTAGCTAGCTAGCTAGCTCGATGGCTAGCTTGCTGGCTAGGTAGCTGGCTAGGTAGCTAGCTAGCTCGATGGCTAGCTAGCTAGCTCGATGGCTAGCTAGCTAGCTAGCTGGCCAGCTAGTTGTCTAAGTATGAAAAGAAAGAGCAAGTAAACGAACAAATGGCAAACAAACAAATTAAATAAAAAACAAACAAACAAATAAATAATAAATAAATAAACAAACAAACAAACAAACAAATAAATAAATAAATAAATAAATAAATAAATAAATAAATAAATAAACAAATAAATGAGCAGATAAATAACTAGTCCTTTGCTGCTGCTGCATCTGTCCTCTTTTTAAAATCAGAAAGTTGAAAAAGACAAATTATTTATTTTATTTGAAATTAAAAAATAAAATAATTCTTTTAAAACTGTAAATAAATAAAACAATCTTCAAAGCTTTGTTTTCTTTATTTGCTAAATACAATTATTTTAAATAATGCATTTATGCAAATAATAAAATAAATATAATTAATTTAAATAATGCACTTGTGCAAATAATAATGCAGATTATTTGTTTAGAATAATATATTTAATGTAAATAATGTTTATAATGTTTTAATTCTTTTATTTATTATTAGTTAATGTTTAAAATGCACTTATAGAAATAACAATAAAGTTAATTTGTTTGATATAATATATTTAATGTAATTAATATTAGTAATGTATTTATTAAAAAAGACAGTAAATTATTTGTTTTATTGAATTTAATTAATTTAGATAATGCATTTATGCAAAAAGTAAAAAGGATAAAAAGTAAAAACATACTTTGAATAATATATTTAAAATATTTATGAATGATAGTAATTTAAATAATACATTATTTGAAAATATAATTTAAATAGATAATGTAATTTTAGGAAATAAAATTAATGTAGATAATATATTTATTCGCAAAATAATTTAAATAATTTATTTTTATATAATGCACTTAATATGAAGAATAAACTTTTATTTAGTGTAATTAATAATAAACTCTTTATGCAGAATATAATTAATATAAATAGTTTATTTTAAATTGCAATTAATGTAAATAATGTGATTACAAATAATCCAATTAATGTAAATAATTAATTTAAATCATAGAGTTTAGTTTATAATAATAAATACAGCCAACATATTTATCTATAAAGTATTAAAGATAGTTAATACATATATATATTGTAATATATATACACATATTAAATATATAGTATATATATATATGTTTGTACACAGAAAAGATACTAAAACTAATTAAAAGAAGCTTTAATAAATTAAAAAGATAAATGAGAGGAGATAAACACAAAACAAAGAGTGCATTTCTTTCTTTATTTATTTTTTGAATTTTAAAAAAGTCGAAAAACTTAAAAAGACTTTTTCTCGGAATTTGCAGTGTATGTACAGCGCATGCATGCGCTGTACATACACTGCAAATTCCGCGAAAAAGACGAAGTGTACATACAGTGCAACTGAGGACTCAGGGCCATCAAATGCATTAAAGTGTCAATTAAATGAACAACTTTGAGGACTTATTTACGAAAATAAAGTGAAAAAGGACTAAAAGTATTTTTAAATCCGGGGCTGCCAGCAAAGGCCTATTTATTGGCGAGGGAGAAAACCCGAAAGAACTTCTTCCCGCCTCTGCAGTGTATGTACACCTCAGCGCTGCTCTTTGTGCGGATCTGCAGTGTATGTACACCTCAGCACGGCTCTTTTGCAGGTCTGCGGGCTTCTTTGAAAAGAGAAATGGATCTAAACCCTAAACCCTAAACCCTAAACCCTAAACCCTAAAAGTTGGACTTTTTGGCACTATTTGACTTCTAAGTTGGCTTGTAGAGAAGAAAAGATTAAAAGAACTAAATAGTTCGTTTCGCCTTTTCAGCCAGCCGCCTGGGCAGTTGAAAAGGGAAAGTTGAATTTGAAAAGAATTTCGAGTGGTGGGGATGCATGCACCTGTACGTACACTGCAGCTGCAGCTAATCGCGCACATTAAAGGCGATTTTCTCCGTCTTTTTCGGATGAAAAAAGGAATTTAAAATGAAATGGAATGGACGAAGACTGCATGCGCATATTTACTGGAAAAAGCGGGAAAAATAAATACTTTATACCTGTCAGGTGCAGCAAATGCCCCCTGTGCAAGTGGAGGTTTCGCTATACATGGGGTGTACATACACCTGAAGTTGGCAGTCAGCGCATGCAGCCCCGTCGTGAAACAAAGGAGAAATTCGAAGCAGCAAAAGAAAGAAAAAGAAGAAATTAAAAGAAAAGGAACAGAAAAAGAAATTAAAAGTGGAAAAGGAAAGGAAATACAAATACCCTTTCCACCACCTTGGGGTGTCTGTACACCCCGGAGCTCGCGCGGCGCCCGTTCCGTTCGGGCGCCTCGCCGGGAATGGGAAACAAAGAAAGAAAATAAATAAATAAATGAATTAAATGAATTAAATGAATTAATTTTTAAATAAATAAACAAACTAATCCATTAATCCTCCATTTAATCCATTCCACTCGCGCAACGCCTCCCAGCAGCTACCTGGCGGCCGGCGGGCTCGCGCCGGCCGCTGCTGCTGCTGCTTGCGGCGGATCCCCCGCATGCTGCTGCTGCTGCTGCTGCTGCTGCTGCTGCTGCTGCTGCTGCGGGTGGTGGTGCTGCTGCTGCGTGCTGCTGCTGCTGCTGCCCGGGAAGAAGCAAGCTTGAGGCCTTATCAGCAGCAAACAAGGCCGGAACCTCGAAAGTCTAAACTGCTGCTCGTCCAAAATCTGCAGCAGCTTTTCTTTGTCTTCTTCCAACACCAAACCCTTCGAAGCTGTGTCTTTAACCAGCTGCAATAAATAAATAAAAAAAAAATAAATAAATAAATAAATAAATAAATAAATAAATAATAAATAAATAATAATAAATAGTTGTGAATAAATGGAGGAATAAATGAAGCAGAGGATGAATTGTTTATTGAGTTGCGGTCGGATCAAGCGCCGATACACCCATGAGTTGTTTCTCCTAAACCCTAAACCCTAAACCCTAAACCCTAAACCCTAAACCCTAAACCCTAAATCCTAACTCTCTGAGAATTTTACATCCTATTTCAAAGCCCTCACATAAACCTTAAACCCTTGACCCCCACGAACCTTGAGACCCCACTCCAACCCCCAAACCCTAAACCCCAAACCCTAAACCCTAAACCCTAAACCCTAAACCCTACTTTTATTTTTAAATTGAGCAGCAAAGTAGCAGCAACTTTGCAAACTGCAAACCGAAAGCAATCGGGATAACAGTCTCGAATGTAAAGAACAAATCTTTTGGCCGACAAGATCTGCTGCTTGTAGCTCGACCTGCACGCAAACCCTAAACCCTAAACCCTAAACCCTAGACCCTAAACCCTTAACCCCAAACCCGGGACCTGGGACTCCGGACTTCACGCTCTTGGACGCTTCGGGTGAAACCCTTCTTGAAGGCCGTTTGCTGCGCTCATGAATTCCAAATCCTAGGCCTTAAACCCTAATTTAGGGTTTAGGGTTTCCCGAAAAGGGTTTCGAAATCTCAAATCCTTCCGGGGACTTACGGACAAACCAAAGCCTTAAGGGATTAGAGCTTAAGGTTTGGGGTCTAGGGTTTAGCTTCTAGGGTTTGAGGCTTCATGCAAGAAGTTGTTTCAAATCGGTCAGTGGTTAGGGTTTAGGGTTTAGGGTTTGGCTAGGGTTTAGGGTTTTTCAGGAGCTCCTTTCCCATCAAAACCCTCATGTTT